TGTGTAGCTTTGTGCCTTTCCTGGAACTCACTTGGTAGCCCAGGCTGGCCTCGAACTCACAGAGATCCGCCTGCCTCTGCCTCCCGAGTGCTGGGACTAAAGGCGTGCGCCACCACCGCCCGGCTAAAGTCTAGCATTTCTTAATCATCAAAGAAATGCAACTTGCTGAGTCTATTAAGTATTGCTCATATATATCTCTTACTAGTTCTTTTTAAATTAAGCATAATGCTCCATACTGGCCAGCCAATTAGGAGGCTCCTCCCTGGAGGACAATTATTGCTTCTGCTCTCAGAATCTTTTAGTTGCCTGTAATTCATTGTTTATCAGTGGGGATCATGAGATTCCTCCTTTCCACATTAGCATGTCTCTTGATGTCTTGTTTAGATAACTTTGTTGTTGATGTATCATGGGTCAAGCTTCTCTGTCATTTCTAGGAGTCACAAGCTCACAACAAATTTCCTGGCCCTCTGCCTTTTACAGTCATTAAGTGCAGAAGTTGTGTTGTAGATGTAACCATTGGGGCTGGACATCCTAGGAACACTTTTTCCTCTGTATTTTGACCACTTGTGGCTTCCTGTATTGGAATCTTTCTGTTACAACAGAAGCTTTTTCAAGGGAACTACAATTATCTGTTGGTATAAGGTAAGTATTTAGAATACAGTTAGGAATTATACTGGCTTAGTAAAGTATTAATAGTAGGTTCTCCTCTAATAACAATAGCATCACTGGGCCTGGGTAAATGACTAGATTTCCAATACTAGGAAGGGTTTCCCTTCTGATGAGCAGGTCTTATGTCCAATTAGACAGGACTTAGTTACCACCAATGTATGAATGCCACTAGTAGACTCATAGATTCTCACAACACTGTGTCATTGTTATGGCTCACCGGCTTCACATCTCAATATAACTATTGGTTACTCTGCTCCCTTGGCAGCTAAAATAGCACATTCTGGGATTCTGAAAGTTAGTCCTCCAGAAGGCGGTTTCAGACCAGATACAGTTTGAATCCCTTGAGTACTGTGTCCTAAAGGAAGCATCTTTAGTAACAGGGTCTTACCTTCAACCTCTAGGAAATAATCAAGAACAATGGATCTAGCTTGAATTCTTTGAGGAATCATTTGTGATCTTCTGACCAACAACTGAAGAGGCAAATTTTCATACCTGATTCTAAGTTTGTTTGTTTTTTTTTTAATAGAAAAGTTTGTGGCTCTTGAGAAAGTTTCCCAACCCAAGTGTCTTAACTTCATTTAAATTACATATATATATATATATATATATATATATATATATATATATACATATCTATTGTATATACTTTTAAATAAGTGAGAAATAACATGATTCCTTAAGGGAATTTTTAAATATCCTTAGTGACTTTTTTCTTCCTTTTTCTTCTGCTTCTGTATTGACTTCCCTGTCACATCCACAATTGAATCCCCCCACTTTCCCCAAGTATCTCTTCCTATAACTTGTATCCTGATAATCTCCTCTCTAATACTTCCTGCTCCATGGTACCTTTTGACTTTCCTACCATTTCTGTGGTTTCTCCAAGTCATATATTCACATCTGAAGATTTTGAGCTACAGAATCACAGATGAGACAATGACAAAACATATGACATTTGTCATTCTGAGTCATTTCCTCACTCAATATAATCTTTTCTAGATCCATCTATTTACATGATAACTTCATGCTTTAGTTTTCCTTTACAGCTGAATAATATTTCACAGTGTTTATGTGTCACAGTTTTATTATTCATTCATCAGTAGAAGGATGTTTAGGTTTTTTCCATTTCCTAGCTATTGTGAATTAAGAAGCAATAAACATGGCTGAACATACTTCGGGCATATGCCAAGGAGTAGGCCATATGGTGGATTTCATTTCAGTTGTTTGAAGAGTCTCCAGACTGATTTCCAGAGTGGCTACATCAATGCCACCAATAGTGACTGAGGGTTCCTGTTCCCCACAACCTCTTTAGCATTTGCAGTGGGTTGTTTTGTTGATCTTAGCCATCCTGACTTTAGTAACATAAAATCTCATGGCTGTTTTGAGTTGCATTTCAGTAACGGCAAGGGATGAAGAACGTTTTTTGAGTTATCTTACTCATATTTATTTCTTCTTTTGAGAACTCTCTGATCAGATCCATAGATCATATTTTGAATGAATCATTTGTGGGAGGTTTTTTTTCCCTTTGATTTTTTTACTTCTTCATATATTCTGGACATTGATCTACTCTCAGGTGTGTAGCTGGTAAAGATTCTCTCTGATTATCTGGGCTTCCTCTTCACTCAGTTGATTATTTCCTTAGCTGTGCAGAACGTTTAAGTTTTATGAAGTCCCAATTGTTGGCCTTAATTCTTGGGTGTGGAGGGATACAAGAATATATTATAGAGATTCAGATGTGTATTAAAGCAATACTTTGACCGGCCAAGGGTCTGTCAAAAGGCATTTATTATGAATATTTGGTGTTATCCAGCCTTTAATATTTCAGCTATTTTCTGCCATGAAATCTTGCATGCCCAAATACTCCCAGACCAATTGGCAAACAGTTCAGCTCCTCAGAGGTACTGAACTTCTAGGTAACTAACATCCCTGCTGGAGCCAGTACTTGGATAAAGTCACTTAGGCAAAGACAAGCTGGCAGGAGATACATCACTTTGTTTCTTGTGCAAATGAAGCTTAGACCATCCCCTCAACTTGAGGCCCAGCGGCTCTCCAGGGCAATTGACTGAGAACAAAAGAGGTTTTTTTTTTTTTTTTTTAAATAATATAAGCATCTGTGTGTTTATTTTATAAGTGGGCTGTCGGACTGCCAGGGCTTGGCGGGACCAGAGAGAAAACTCTTTAGCTATACCAAAGAGCAAACAGATCCCCATCCCCAACACACTCAGCCTCAGGAGGGAGTGAACACCCTGACCTTGTGCCATGACCTCTAAAACTAACAAATTTCTGTTAAATTACCTGGTCCACAGTAATTCCTTATGGCAGTTTTAAGAAATAAACACAGGACATCACATGTTTTTACTTGTTTTAAAAAATTTCAAGAACACACACACATAGGTTTATTCTTCAAGACTGGAGCAAGCCATGGCAGGATTTCAGAGGCCTTGCAGAGGGAACTGGATTAATGAGTTGTAATGGTGGTCTCATCCCAGACTTTCCAGAACACTGGCCTCCATGGGTCCTATGTCTCCCTTTCAACTATTCTTACTGGACCCCGAGGCCTTTACCTATGTCATCCAGATGGCTTCTGTTCGGTTTTCATGATTCTATGCAGACATCTGCCTTATCCTATGTCTTGACAGGCTTCCTCAGAGGCCTCCTAACTGCATGATGATCTCATCACCAATTCTCTCGGTAAACTCTAGGGCATTTGCTGGGCCTTGACAACCACTCTACATAAACCCAGGAACGTGAGTACAGAGAGGACTTAAGCTGGGAGAGGCTGGGACAGAGTTAGAATCCTGAGGTACCTCCCTGTGTGCTGTTGGGCAGGCCCATCTACAAGAGTTAGAGGAATGGTAGACAGGCTGTTGGCATCACCATGTCTTCTGTGAAAAGGGAGGACACACCTGCTTGGTAGAGGGACCCCGTTGAACTGACAAGTTAGGCTGGCACTCAAATGGGGTCAGATTGCTGCTGGTGAAGAAGACTTATCCTAAACACCAAAATAAGTGTTCACAGGGCCCAACTCCTGAGGAGACAACCATTCACTTCCCAGTGGGGAACTGAGGAATCTGCAGCACCATCCCCAGCCTGAGAGGGACTGTTTCTACTCCACATAAACCTAGGCCTGAAGACACTCCACTCCTTAGGTCTTCAGACCACAGACACTGCAGGGGCTTCATCTTTCAGGTCTGGCCTGACAGAGCATAGGCCCACTCTGACCAGTTAGAGGCAGCTGGGTAGCATGATGACAGAGGGTTTATTTAGATCCTTCCAGTCCCCACTTGGGATTAGTCAATCTGTCTGTGACAAGGCCCTGCCCCAAGAGTCCAAGTCTGCATCCTACTGGCCAGTAGCAGCTCACAGCTCACTCAGTGCTCAGGAAGACCCTCTTGCGGGCAGTGTTGGTATAGGGGTGCCAGCGCCACTCTACGTCTGCTGTGGCCTCCTGCTCCAGTGTGCCCAGGCGAATCATGTACACTAGGGTCAGGGGAAAGAGACGTCATCCCATGCACAACCAAGCCCCTCCTCTAGCCCCCCGCCCCCAGCATAAACTAAAGGCCCAAACTCACACTTCAGCTCAAATCGAGGCCCAACCTCAGTCAACTCCACATTGCGGTGGTCTGTCTTCTTGTAGACATGGTGCCTGAGGAGAAAGGAAGCAGAGACAGGAATGAGGGTCAGCCAAAAAGGCCACAAAGGTCATGATGCCCCCAATTCAGCCCAGAGACCCACCGGAATGAAATGTAGTCATCCTGGTTTGCAAAGGTGATGACCCGATGGCTGTCATCCTTCGGCACAGGGAACAGGTAACGGAGGATATCAGACACCTGGGGCAGAGGAAAGGCGAATCGCAAGTGGCTGGCCCGATCCTTACTGCCCCTGGCCCGCCCCCGCACAGGTTCCCATACTTACCCGCTTGCCCAACCGTGAGGTAAAGCCATGGGTGATGAGGTGAGGCTTGGCCTCTGACATGGTGCCCAGGTCAGGGATGTCATGCCGCATAACCACATTGCACAGTGTGAAGTAAGCCGTAGGACCGAAGGGCAGATGGCTGACAATGAGCCCCACTGTAGGCGACAGGCTGTCAGACACTCTGCCATGAGAACAGCCCGAGCTCCCTCTCCCTCTGGCAGGCCTTACCAGGTGTGCCTCGATGCTCATGGACAACCAACAGGTCGGTGACCCCATTGGCTTTGCAAGCTCGCACCAGCGCGCCAACCTCATGCCGACCTCGGTTCATGCGCTGGGCACCTGGGAACACCAGCTTCAGTTCCTGCCCATGGACCAATGTCAAATTAGAATTGAGGCCACTGGTCCCGGGGAATTCCCTCTTCCCCACCCCCTGGTACCTTTGCGAACATCTTCAGGCGAGAACTGGGGTCTCGGGAGGTAGTGATCATGATTTTAGGATCTTCAACACCAGCCCATCGATATTCATCATCTACGTGGCTGGTCACACCTTCACCGCCAGCATCATCAAACTCCAGGGACCCCTGTAAGGCTAGAGCCTCCCGGCGTAGCTCAGTGGGAATCAGCTGGTTTTCTTCCAGAGCACGCTTGACTCGCTCCTTCTTCTCCTGAACGGACCGCTGCGCATCCTCCCGGGCCTTGCGGTACAGGTACTCGCGGCGCAGGCGAGCCTCCCGGCGGAGCATGCTGAGCGCCGCTCCCACACGCGTCTGGGATCTTCAGGCAACTCCGGCACCCACAAAAGAGGTTTTTACATATCAAGGTGAAAGGTAGAACAACATTCCTGAGGAGGCAGAGAACCACGTGGCCAGGGAGAGAAGAAAAAGACTTTCTGTAGAGAAGACAGAACAGCATGACCAGGGAGAAGAGAAGAACACAGAGGTAATGTAGATGGTAAGGCAGAGCTCTTGAGCCAGGAGTAGAGAGAAAAGCAGAAATGGAGGTAGAAGAAACAGAGGACAAAGGTGAGGCAGGAAGCGTAAGAGCTTAGTCATTAGTAGGACTATGAGAGGGAACAGGACGGAACTGAAGCTATGGAGACAGGATTTCATCCCAGAGAAATAAGATAGATGGATAAGGAGGTTGGTGCATCTAGAGTTATTCCTGTCCTGAATACCTGACAGAGCTGTAGCTGAATAGATGGAATTTTGTCTTAGAGGAATAAAGTTAACATACATAAGAGCATAATGTAAAAGTAGATTTTTTTCACTCAGATATCCCACACCAGATGTAGTGAAATCCCCGGACCCTGGTTAATCCGTACTTGGGCCAATGGACTCCTATTCCAAAAGTTCTTTCCTATAACTATCTTTTGTAAGGTATTGTGTATGTTTTCTTCAAGCAGTTTCAGGTTTCACATTTAGGTATTTGATCCATTTAGAGTTAGTTCATTCTTTTGCGTGTGGACATCCAGTTTTCCCAGTCTCATTTGTTGATGATTCCATCTTATCTCCAGCATATGATTTGGCATTTTTGTCAAATATCAGATGACTGTAGTTATTTGTACACATGTTTAGATCTTTGATTTTGTTCCATTAGTCTATATGTCTGTTTTTGTACCAGTATCATATTGCTTTTGTTACATTTAGCTCTGTAAACAGGTTTATATTTCTGGAATGGTACACTCTGAGGGTTGTTTCGGATTCTGGGTTCTTTCATGGTTCCAAATGAAATTTAGGATAGTTTGTTTTCCCATGTCTGTGAATAAGCTAAGGATTTTGATTTGGATTGCATTGACTCTGTAAATAACTTTAGATAGAATGGTCATTTTTACAATATTAATTCTACCAATCCATGAGCATGGGATGACTTTCCATTTTTTATAGTCTCTCTAAAATTTTTTCTTCAGAGATATAAAGTTTTTATTATAGAGGTATTTCATCTCTTCTGTTAGGTTGAGTCCTAGATATTTTATTTTTTGAGGCTACTATGAATAGAACTGTGTCCATGATCCCTTTCTCTGTATAGCTTTTACCAGTGTATAGAAAATTGGTGTATTGACTATTTTGTAAGTTGATACTATATACTGCCACTTTGCTGAAATGATCATTTCTAGTTTTCTGATAGAATTTTGGGGATATTTTTGTATAATACAACATTTGCAAATAAGGATGCTTTGATTTCCTCTTTGCCTATTTGTATACCTTTAATTTTCTTATCTTGTCCTGTTGCTCCAGTTAGTGCTTCAAAAACTATACTGAAATGGAGTTGGGTTGATGGGTAGCTTTATTTTAATATGATTTCTTCAAGCTTTTCTCTATTTAGGGTGGTATTTTTTGTGGGCTTGTCATATATAGACTTTATTAATACAGAAGTATGACCCTTCTATTCCTACTGTCTCTACCACTTTCATCATATTTTCAATAATAAGTTGTTTTTATCTTTATACGTTGTGCACTTACTAGAGATTTGTTTTCTGTCAATGTTAGATTTTATTTCCTTATGATCAGACAAGTGCATATAATTTTTTCAATCTTTCTGAAAACCTTAAGACTTGTTTTGTGTCTCAGGATATGGTCTATTTTAGAGAAGCTGTGCTGCTGTGAAGCATACATCTATATAGATAGATGTAGATATAATATATATTTCCTTGTTACATATTATGTATGTTATATTATATTATATTATTGTATGTATATATGTATGTATATTTATACAGATATCTCTTTGTGTGTGTGTATGTGTGTTGTGTGTGTGTGTATCCTTTGTTGTTTGGGTAGAAGATTCTATAGATATCTTCAATTTAGTACATTTGATGCATGGCCTTATTTAATTCTGATGTTTCTCTGTTCTTATTTTTTGTTCATATGCCTTGTTTATTGGAGAAAATTCGTTTTTAAAGTCATTTAATATTAGTGGGTTGATGTTCATCTGTGTATTTAGTATCAGTAGTAGATTGCTTATAATATTAGGTGGAGCAGAACTTTGCATATATGTTTGGAAAGTAATGTCTTGCTCTTGATTGTTCCCTTTATTGAATTGAATTGTCCTTTGCTTTTCCCACTAGTTTTAGTTGAAAGTCTATTTTGCAGGATATTTGGATAGTCACAACTATTTGCTTCCTGGTCCCATTTGACTGGAATATTTTTTTCTATATTTTATTCTAAGGTGTGGACTAAATTTGAGAAAGCTTTCTTCTATGATTTTTTTGAAAATATGGTCTAGGCAGTTGTCCTAGGATTCTTCACTTTCATCTGTGCCTATACTTTGAAGATTTAATCTTTTCATGGTCCCACAATTCTTTCATATTCCTTCCCTATGCTTCCAAATTTTTGTGTATTCTTTGCTCAGTTGGTCTCGTTTCTCTACTTTGTCTTTGAGTCCTAATATTCTTCTGCTTGATATAATCTACTTGTAAGTCTTTCTCTTCAGTTTTCTAGCTAAGTTACTGACTTCTTTTTCAATTCAATCTTTATGTTTCAGTTTGAATTTTTTCTTTTTTTTCTTTTTCTTTTATTTTATAATTTAATTTAATCTTACATATCAGCCACGGATTCTCTTGTTCTCCCCTCTCCTCCAGGGCAAAGACTCCCCTCAGGATTGAGTTCAACCTGGTAGATTCAGTCTAGGTAGGTCCAGTGCCCTCCTCCCAGGCTAAGCCAAGTGTCCCTGTATAAGCCCCAGGTTCCAAACAGCCAACTCATGCACTGAGTACAGAACCCGGTCCCACTGCCTGGATGCCTCCCAAACAGATCAAGCTAATCAACTGTCTTTCTTATCCAGAGGGCTTGATCCAGTTGGGGGCTCCTTAGCTATTGGTTCATAGTTCATGTGTTTCCATTCGTTTGGCTATTTGTCCCTGTGCTTTTTCCAATCTTGGTCTCAACAATTCTCGCTCATTCAAACCCTCCTCTTTCTTGCCAATTGGACTACTAGAGCTCCACCTGGAGCCAGGCCGTGGATCTCTGCATCCAGTTCCCTCAGTCATTGGATGGGGTTTCTAGCACGACAATTAGGGTGTTTGAATTTTTCAGTATTTCTCTTTATTAAATTTAGTTCTCAAATTGTGTATTGTCTTTGTCATTTCATTAAGCCTTGGACATCTCTCTGGTATTTATTCTCTTTGAATTTATCCTCTTTAAGCTTATTTAGCTGTCTCATTGTGCCTTCTAAACTCTTCAAATTATTTGATGAAGTTTATTGTTATTCTTCTTAAGTTATTTTTTCCTGGGATTCATCTAAGTAATTCTCAACGGAGAACCTTTCTATAGGACTGCTGGATTTGTCTTATCTTTCACTTTGTTCTTAGGAGGAAATTTGGGCGTGAGGACTTTTTATATTGGTTGTGTGTCTAGTGTGCACATTACAGGGATGGCTGACAAACAGGATATGCCACTTGGCTTGAACCTGGAGGTTAAGAAAGGTGTAGATTGGGCTTACCAGCCTGGGTTGGGCTGTGTTTGTAGGGCCAGACATAGGTGTGGAATTGGGGAGGATGCAGTTCGAGTTGGGTCAGGTGGATTCACAAGCTAGACCAGAACTCAGGATATGTGGGTCTAACTGGGCCTGGAGGATGGACCTGACACAGGCAGTTGAGGGCAATTGTATTTGGGTAGAGCTGTGCTGGAGAGCAGCATTAGGTCATCTGTGTCTCTGCACCATGTGGTTGGGCTAGAGAGTCTGGGAGATATGCATTTTGGGGGTGGGGGTGGGACTGACCACTTGTTTTTGGACAGTCAATGAAGGGCTCATCTCTGAAGAAGACAGAGTATCTCTATCTCAGTGTCTTTAATTGGAGGTTCATTGAATGCAGGGTGTCAGGCTTGAGAAGCAGGTGCTTTTATCTGCTGAGTTTTCTCTCCAGCCCAAAAAGTGAATTTTATATGAAAATGTCATCATCATTCCCTACTGCTAACTTTACTAATATAATCACCTGTATTTTTTTCCTTTTCATTTTTATTCAAAGGCCACAAAGCAAGGATGTTTACTTGTCAGACTAATGCCTGGGAAAAGACAAACCACTAATAGTCTGGGGACAGTAGTACTCAATGAGTGAGGTAGGAAATACCACTGCCCAGTGGCACTGGAGGATTCTCCAAGGAAAGCACTGGTCACTTAAGACAAACTTGTTCCACTTATTGAAAAAAATGCCAGTAACTTACAGAAAGAAGTGAGTTGGTGTGGGCATAAGCCCAAATCATCCTTTTTGTCCTATAGGGTTGAATGAGGGCCAGATGGCAAGGTCTAGGGATATTTCATGTAATTTTTCTTGACTCACTTAGAAAAGAAACTTGGGAAGACACCCACCTTTATATCCTTTTTCTCTGGTATTAAAAATATGTATCATTATATCTGTCTCTTTTTTTATATATGGTTTTTCGAGACAGGGTTTCTTTGTGTAGCTTTGCGCCTTTCCTGGAACTCGCTTTGGAGACCAGGCTGGCCTCGAACTCACAGAGATCCACCTGCCTCTGCCTCCCCAGTGCTGGGATTAAAGGCGTGTGCCACCAACAGCCGGCTTTTATTTTTTAATCTTTATTTTAGTGTGTGTGTGTGTGGGGGGGGTGCATGTGCATGTACAATTTGGTGTAGGTATAGTGGAGGCCAGAAGAGGGTATCAGATCCTATGGATCTGGAATTAAAGGCACGTTTGAGCTGCCACATATGGGTTTTGGGACCTAAACTCCAGACTTTTATAAGGACAGCAACTGCTTTTAACTGCTGAGCCATCTCTTTAAGCGCTGGAACTGGATTTAAATCCAGCCTCATATCTATTCATTAGTCATGGGAT